TGCCAGCTTCCCCAACTCTAACAGTCCAACAGTTGCCACACCAACTCCAGTGTCGTCTGTGTGACATGACATATGTCATTAATGCCGGACAGGAACTACACGTCCTATGGGACTAGGATTCCTGGAGGTCAATGGCAGATAGCCTGGTATTGGCCGCCCTTGGGGCACAGATGGGATTCTCGAGTAGCTGGCTATGCAGGATATGAGCTTTGCACAATTTCTTTCATAATAATGATAGTCTTTATATATACAAGACAAGGATCATTCTCTTCAGAAACAGCTCTGAGATAAGGAAGCACAGTATGGGAATGTATAAGACTACAGCAGAACCTTTGTCATACACAGGGTGTATGATGAGCAAGGGAATAGATGGGTTAATGTTGATGGACAAAGACTGTTATATTATACTTTGAACTTTATGGATAGGCTTGCTAGATCCCAACCCCCATGATGTCTGCTGCATAAGAAGGTACTAAAAAGTATAGTTCAACAGGTGCAGAGAACTGTCACTAGATGAAATAAATGGTTAGGAAGAGGAAGGGCCATGATAGCGATAATGAGACAGAAAGTTTCTATTCATAAGATGAAACCACTTGTCTGAGGTTTACATTCCCAAGTCAAGATTTCCTCTTCTAAGGATGCTTTATGTCTAACACCTGTTCCTGATAATATACTTTTCTTAAATATTGCTGATGTGACTAAAAGAAGCTTTCATACTGTGCCAACCAATGATACATTACCTTCTGATTTGTTTTGTTTACTATATAATGAAAACATGAATTCAGTAAAATCGCAGCAGATTCCAACCACTCTCTTGTGTGTTGTGTCTATCTGTCATTCGCCGAACTTGTGCCTTCCTGTTACCAAGACCCTGCTCCTCTACGGTCTGAGTGGCTCCCCTGAGCCGGTCCATGGCAAATAGTCCCTGAGGGATCGATATTCCAAAACAGCATGGAGTATCTAGAAAGCTGTGTGGACCTGAGCTTTGGAGGGCAGGCCTTACCTTCTGTAGTAGAGACGTATTCATGTTTGGTAACAGAATTCATGTGTGAGTCACTGGGCCCAGGACAGCATGACACTGGGCTATCAAAACCCAAGTATCTCTCAAATACAACAGCCATAAACCTGGTTTCGTCAGCCACAGATCACTAATTCACTGCATGACAATGGTCACAGGTAAACTATATGAACAGGCAATTGAGGCTCCATGGCATGTATCCTGCTTCCTCACCTCAGACTTTATATATGTGAGGGTGTTTTCCACCAAAGTTGCTATAGGAAGAAAACATATCTGACTCAGGTATAATGGTGTTTTGTCTGGATATAGTGGAATGAACCAAAACCAAACTCTCAATTGCAATTGGTTCTATAATAAGTTCTTAGGTGAATAGACAGGGACACCCCCCGCCCCCCGCAGGGGGAGGGTAGTACACTTGGTTATCAATTTTACAAGTAGGGAGATGATCTGCGCTAAGAAGCCCTGTGTTCCACTGGGCAATGGAGAATGATTTGGCTGGGTGAGGAGAGGGCTGCGGGCAGCAAGGCTAGGATACAGAAGTCTGGGGAAAGTGAATAGGGGTGGCCTAATGGGAGCGGTGCCATCTATGTGAAAAACAGACGCAAGTTTGTTGTTGGCAACCCTGCAGATCTCTTTGGACACATGACTTTGCTCAAATGTTGCCATGTGCTTTCAGTGGTCCCAAAGTATGTTCCCCACCAGATGAATTTTTATATCTAAGTGATGGCTTATGTTTTCAGCTAACTCTAACCTCAACCTATCCCTCAGACTCTCAATAAAGCAATTTTACCAAGATCTCTACACATAGCCCTCCTCGATACCTCCAAACTCCAGAATGTGGCAAAAGCCTCCTATCTACTGCCCTAAACTCTAGTGCCATATACAAGGGCCAGGTTCCTTAGTAAGGGTCCCAAAGCCACATATATACTAGCTCTGCACTCCTGCCCAGACGTTCTCACCGGAGTAGTCAAGGCTGCGCTGGAGCTGCTCCGAGGCATATCAGTCTTAGGATTTCTATACAGTGGGGCCTAGGTTGTAATATGCATTGTGGTCTGGTTGGAGGGGGATTGGACCCTAGATTTACTTTGTTTCCCCTTCAAGTTTTGAAGTAGATTACTGAATATTTTGGGGGTGAAGACAGAAGCACATACTTTGGAGTCATCATTCTGGGTCTCCCAGGTAGCTAAAGGGTTTCTCCTGGAGCCCTGGCCACTCATTTCTCACTGTTTAAGCATCTCCACATAAAGCACTTTTCCTGGGCAACCTTAGTGAACAGCTTAGGCACTGAGAACTTGTAGCCATAGGCTTCTGAATTATGTAAATGTGCCCTCTAGTGGTCACGACCATGAAAGTCCACTGAACATTTTTTCTTTTTTTTTTTTCTTTTAAGATTTCTGTATCTTCCCCGTAAGACAATGGCAGAACTAGTCATAGGCAGACCTAGTGATGGTGAACTGAGCCCAGGATAGAGCTGACAACCACCACCAGGGGACAGAACCTAAGTGCAGAGTTAGCAGAGGCCAACAAGACAGAAGAGGGACCAAGATGAACCATATTAACCATGGACAAGTAGATATAATAATTCATAGCCTAGACATTACCATAGCCAACTGCTTTCTCTCCTGGGAGATAACACTAAGGGCCAGAGCTTGCATTACTGAGCGTGCCCATCCAATACAAGACAGCCACTCAGAGCAGCGCCTGCATAGACGTCCACTGGTAGTCCAGGCATTACTATCATTTTAATGCACGCCATGACAATCACTACAGATACCACTTTCCTTTTTTCATTCTTTTAGACCTGCTATGATCAACACATAGGGCACTGTCTCATTCTTAACTACACAATATTGAATTTTATGTCATAAAATTACTCATCTGCTGAGTAATGACTCATAAAATCACTCACTTGTGTTGATGAAATCTTTATGCTAACAGAGCCAGATATAATTATTTATGTACTATATTACATGCACATACATGAATTCCAAGATTAATTTGATAAATACAAATTTAAAATGCTGCAACACAGGCTATCCCTGCCAGAGATGCATCTCTGTCATGCTTCCCTTTCTCTGGCCATCACTGCTAGCCATTCATAGAGCAGAAAACATGATAAGATGGCATTGTATATTATTTATAAGTGACATCAAGCATCTTTGCTATTTTGTGTTGTGTGTGCGTACGTATGTGGGAGTGTAAACTGTTTCTATCTTGACACCCAGCAGATAACTGGCCTTTGAAAGACTGGTTGTGGGACCAGGTGTGATGGTGCACACCTTTGATCCCAGCACTTGGGAGATGAAGGCAGGTGGGTCTCTGAGTTTGAGGCTAGCCTGGTCTACACAATGAGTTCCAGAATAGCTAGAGCAAATAGTGAGTTCCCCTCTCAAAAACTGAAAACAAGGCTGGGCAATGGTGGTGCACGCTTTAATCCCAGCACTCAGGAGGCAGAGGTAAGCAGATCTCTGTGAGTTTGAGGACAGCCTGGTCTGCAAGACCTATTTCCAGAACAGGATCAAAAGCTACAGAAAACCTTGTCTCAAAAAACCAGAAACAACAAAAAAACCTGAAATCAAAACAAAAAGTGGCTGAGCATTCTGTGGCAAGAATATTACGTCTTTGACAGGAATCTCAAATATTTCTCCAGCTTTATAGTTGCATTATTTGTATGTGTATTTTACCAGTCAAAAGTTTTAAGGGGTTATCGGATATCAATCTTTAAAGACTAGCTTGTGGACTCTCAGTACTTAGGAAGTTCTTCATGGATCATTAAGAACCTTCTACTGGAATGTCTGATGAGTCACACAGTTTGTGGGCACACAGCTCTGAGACAGGGTTTTGGAAGACATTTTTATTTTTTCACATAAACGTTTAGAAACAGCTTGTCCAGATCTAATTATCTTTGCATTTTACTGTTGTGACAGATACGCAACTTACATTTTCATCGAGAATACGCTGTCTTTGTGTAATTGCCTGTGTTCTATTTGCTGTCACACTCATACACAGCTGAAGGTAAGCTTCAATTTTTGATTTTCCTGCTCCCTTCTTCCCTGGCTGGGATTACAAGTGTGCCATCACACCCAATTTTATTGGGACCCTCCCTCCCCCCACCACGTTCCAGAGTTTCATGCACCTTAGGCATTCTACCAAGCCACAGTCCTGAGCTTCTCATTAGCATTTTCATTTTCTTCCACTGTATCAACTAGACAACATTAAAAAACAAAACCCCTCTTTTCCACATTGTTTTCAATGTATTTTCTTTCATTTAAACACAATGTCTGCCGTCTAGAACAAACTGGGCGATAATGAAAAGCACACCATCAAGTCATACCTGGCTCTACTTAGACGCATTAACCTGCCGCTGTCACACTAGACACCTGCGCTTGCTTCTACTTGCCCACCTCCCTCCACCTCTAAGGTGACCAACCACTACTGCCTTTTAAGTTCAGCATTCTTTGGCTTTTGGTTTGGTTAGGCACATGCATACCATATACATGTGTCTGTATGAGCACACCTTTCCAGATCAAATAGTCCGCTAAAGAAGATATTCCTCACCGTGAAGATGGGCTCATGGGTCCTAGGGCTGAGGCATGCGCCCACCCTTTTTCCTTCTGTTCAGGCTCATTAGCGTATCTCCAAGTTCCTCCAGATTGTACACAAGACAACCCCTGGACTGCCATCCAGTAAGATGCTAAGGAGGTCAAAAAAAATGAAGAAACACACACACATACCAATTTTGGAGATTCCATTTGCTATGATCCTGAGAGTAAAACAGTTTGACTATAAAGCCACTGTGCCAAGAAGGCCGTCTGTGTGGCGCGGGTGAAGCTAACAGAGCCTGGGCTGTGGGTGCACTACTGCTGATGAGTCATGCCAACACTTAACCAGCGTCTCCTCCAATGCCCACTCCCTGTCTTCTGTATGAGCTCAACAACACTTTTCTTTCTCCCAGCCAACAATAAAGTCACATCAGATAAAGTTCATTTACAAAAGGTAGGCTATGTTTATTAGGAGTCCCAAGCAGCTGACTGAGTCATTGTGACTCAAGACACAAAGACACCCTTTGCCTCCACTTCAGCCTAGTCCTGTGGTGGAAACCAAGACCAGCACAAGAGCCTCTTGGGGCTCCTTCACAGGTTTACAAGTTTCTCGTTGAGGGCAATCTGTGACTGGGTGAGGTTGGCCAGGTAGGTCACCATCAGCAGGTCCTGAAAGACAAATGAAAACAGTGAATGGAACGGCGACAGAAGTCTGGTGTTGGCTGCTCCACTGTGGACACTGGCTGCGCAGAGTCCTGAACAAATGCCACCTGGGGCAGACTGGGCAGGGGTTGAAGGTGGAAGCCAGGAGGGGATGTGCACGGACACCATCCTCTCTACCGATGCTTATAGAATCGGGGATGGAGTAGAGGCTTTTGAAGTATGGGTGGGTGTGTCCTGTGAACACAGGTGGGGAAACTAGAATTGTCTCTGTTACCTTGGACTTTAGCAAGTCCTCTACCTGAGTCTAGTTACTTAGGGGAGGAGACCCTCTGGACATGCTGGACTGCCTCCACCCTGGACTGCACCGCAGCCTTCCGTCTACCCAACTTCCATGGTCCAGCCATGACTCACATTGATGTTGCTGTTGAGCATGGTCTCAAAGTCATCAGGAACGATCTTGGGTACTTGATTAACCAGGCTCATCAAGAAGCGGCCTACAGTGTTGTCAGCAGACACTTTTCCAGACTGAGCACAAAACAGAGACTCGGTGAGGCACTGTTAGGGACTGCCATGTCACTGGCAGGCCCACAGGCTGTCAGCCTCCCTTGCCCCCCCCCCCCCCCCCCATCTCACCAGCACATCCTCAGCATACTGCAGCACAGTGCTCAGAGCATCCTGGATGCGAGCTGAGGCCCCTCCCACTTGCTGTAGGTCACTTGAGAGTCCAATCACCCGGTTGGGGCTAAAACATGTCTTCATGATGAGATCGACTGTGGGAGTGCAGAAAAAACTTAGTCATGGCAAGAGGAAAGAGGTCGTTAACCACCTACTAACTCTCTCCACCCACTCCGGACACAGTCAGCTCCCCAAAATCCCGGGTTTCCACGCACTGACTTTTCTTTCTTTGGAGAGCTCAGCTCCTCCACCTGGGTTGTTAACTACTGATGCTGGCCTCTTATGGAGATTATGTGGCCTGTGGTACTGACAATGTCCTACCCTGAACAATCTTCAACTTCTATCAGCATGAACCTTGAACAGTGTTCTGTAAGCTACCCAAGCCCTCCCTCCATCTCTGCCACAGAGAAACAGCTCCCTCCCTTGAATCAGCCTGGGGTCTCTAGGTGTGCAGAGTGGGGGAAGGAAACTCACCGCCAATGCGTTCGGTGTCATAGTATGCATACTTCACTGTGAGAGGTGTGAACATCACTCCCATGGTCCTCCCAGGGACACCCATTAATGTGCTGGGGAAAGAGAAGAAAGGATAACCAGATGCCCTTGGGAGTAGTTTCCGTGTCCAGACTAGGCTAGAAAGCATCACAGTCACAAGGGCAACACCGTCCAGTTGAGAAGGCCAGGACTGTCCCAGAAACATCTTGAGAATAAACTTTTCTTATCCTCTTCAGCCTTGCCCCTTAGAGGACAGGTGTTCCTGGCTGCCTAGACACCCATTTTCAGGGGAAACAGACACACTGGAACAATCTTTTTCTGGGGCTGAACCTCTCATTATCACTACAAGACCAAACTGACTTATGCCCCAAACCACTGGACTGGGCGCTAGAAGTAACTTCACTAAAGTTGTATTTACTATTTCAACTGTGTATTTTCATATGGATTTTGAAAGGCTGAATTTGTAGAGACTAAAAAGGGGGTAAAGGCGAGGGCTCAGTGCCTATCAACGGGCTCAAGCTGTAGTGATAACTCTTCCTTCCTCACTGCTAAAGCCTTCCCAGCAAACCCTGACAAATGGCATTGTAGCTGCCAGCAAGTTCTGTGTCAACACTGCAATGTTATCGTCTAAAAGTATACTGAATCCCAGCTCAAAAAATGTGCTTACACAAGGCCAGCATTCTCTAGCTTATAAATACTATGCTAGATTCTAGGAATAATGAATGTGCTGGTTAGGGCTTTTTAATATAAAATTTAAAAATTATTACTATTATTTTATCTATTTGACATAAACTAGGTTATCTGGAAAGAACCTCATTTTTTTTTTTTTTTCACTAAAGCAGCCTTAGGCCAGTCTGTGGGCATTTTCTGGATGGAGGATTGATGTAGGGGGTGGTGGTCCTGGGTGGTAGGAGAAAGCAGCCTGAACAAGCCAGGGGAACAGGGAGCAGGCAGTATTACTCTGTGGTTCTGCTTCAGGTGCCTGCCCTGTCTTCCCTCAATGACAGATGTCACCTGTAGGGTGAAATAAGCCCCTTCCTTCCCAAGTTGGCTTTGGTCAGTGTGTATTACAGCCACAGAAAGCACTAAGATAATGAAAACTAAAGGCACTACCATGAGGAGTGGTCACAGACAACAAGTGCTCCAGTTTACGTAGGACCAGCGAGTATAAATTATGGGGTCATACTCTGCTTCAGAACCTTCTCTAATGACAGCTGTCAAAGGAACTGAAGTCCTTGAAGAGACAACGAGCTACAGAGTGAGACCCGAGTGGGAGGTCATCCAGGCACAGAGGGAATGCCCCTATTGCCCAGGACTCACCTGACATAAGCCTTGATGCTCATGCGCCCATTCTGCAGACCTGTGTCCACAGTGAGGTGAATGGGGTTTGGGGCCTCCCGGCTGTAGTACTCATGGATCAGCACGGAATGTTCTGTGATGTCATGGCCTGTCGCATACCTGGAAAACAGCAGTTATAGATGCATGGCACCTGATGCCAATACAGAATACAATAGTGGTGGGGGCGTCTCTGGGGTCCTGACACTATGTCAGCAGTAATTAACAGTGTCAACAAACTTTGCAATAGCAAAACTATAACTGAAAATAAATATTCTTGACTTTATAGGATAAGAATTATCATCAAAATACTGAATTTATAGGCTCAAGGTTATATGTTTTGAATACTGTATCTCTGAAAGGTGAGACAAGACCTAATCTGATGACAAACAAGACTGCCCCTCAATAAAGACTTTTCCATCCACCTACCCCCCTCAACTTACCAGCCTAGGATGAGTTCATTTGGGGAGACTTTTTTGTGCAATTCATACATATTCTTAGCAAACTCCATGTCAACAGCCACCTAAGAGAGAGGGCAGGAGAGGACATTAAAAAGCTAGTACACACCAAAACTGAATAGAAAGAATGATCACCCAGCTGATGAAGAAGCCCAGGGTGTGGACAGGGGAAGCTGTGCTTTGCCTGTAGCTCGGGTTACAGACACAGCACAGTGGGGCCTTGAGGGTAGCCAGAAGATGAATGCTAGAAACTGCACAGGGGCTGCTGAAATCTACAACTCACTTCATCTTCTGACTCGTTGTGCGGCACTGAAAAGCAGTTGGTGACTTCCACTGAGTGCTTGTCAACAGTTCCTGGAAAAGAGAGAATGGCCAGGTGTTACAAAATCCTGCGGTCCCGGGCTGGAGAGATGGCTCAGAGGTTAAGAGCATTGCCTGCTCTTCCAAACGTCCTGAGTTCAATTCCCAGGAACCACATGGTGGCTCACAGCCATCTGTAATGGGGTCTGGTGCCCTCTTCTGGCCTGCAGGCATACACACAGACAGAATAATGCATACATAATAAATAAATAAATAAATAAATATTTAAAAACAAAACAAAACAAAATCCCAAAAAACAACAACAACAAAATCCTGCGGTCCCACAGTGCACAACTACTTTTCCCCTATTTTTGTTTTGCTTTTGGAGCCAGGATCCTTTGTAAGCACAAATGATCGAGAACTCCTGAACCTCATGTCTCCAGCATCCAAGTGCTAGGATTCCAAGTGTGCCCCCCCACACCTGGTTTATGTGGTGAGGACTGAAATCAGTGCTTCATGCATAGCTGGCAGGTGCTCTGTCGCTCTATCAACTAAGGGCTATCCTCAGCTCCTAATTCTGAAATGCATTTGGAGTTCTCCTCAAAGTCAACAAACATCAAGCTAATACATTAGTGCCAAGTTCCGCATAAACAGAATCAGCATCTTCTAGAGAACTCAAACTCTTCCTCCTGTCACCAAGAAAGGTCTCCCTTGGCTGTTACTGTCCACTCCCATTCCCCGGAATACTCACTCTTCACTCTCTAGAGCAATGGTTCTCAAACTTCCTAGAGCTGTGACTGTCATGCTGTGGTGACCCATAAAATTATTTCATTGCTACTTCACAACTGTAATTTTGCTACTGTTATGAAACATAATATAAATATGTTTTTTGATGGCCTTTGGTGACCCCTGTGAAAGCAATGTTCAACCCCCAAAGGGGTCTCACTGCTCTAGGGTTTCTCCCTGTATGTTGGCCTGCACAGCTCGCTGAGGCTGACTGCCAACAGAGCCGTCTAGTGTCACTGTAAACACAGCTTTCAGGGCATTACCTGGACCTCCCTTTAGAGCAGCCAGCCCATCTATCACCTCTCTATCTGTGAGTCTACCACAGACATCAGTTCCTGGGTCTCACTGAGCCATGGACTCCAACTTCACTTTCTCCTAACGTACTGGCACCTTCCTGCAAGCTTCCCACCCCTACTGCAACACGTCCCTGCTAGTGGTTTGGTCTGGCATGGTTTTGCTTTCTGAACTATGTATGCTCTTACACCTATGGGCACACATCCTCTCACCGGAGCACTCATCAGCATTTGACCGTCACGACTGCTTCCTCCATTCCAGGGCCTTAGGTCCCTTAGTTCTCCATGGCACCAGTCTCTTCTAGTTTTCTCTCTTCCTAATCTGTTGGCTCCGCATTCTTAGTGTTCTTAGTTTTTGCTCTATGTTCCTTTTCTAGGCCAAGTCCTGATCCAGAAACATTTCAGCTGATAAATGTTTACTTGCCCAATCTCTTATGCATTATTTTTGACCTTTTTCCCCCTACAAAGGCAGAGTTGAGTAGCTGTGACAGACTGCACACAAAGCTAAAAGTATTTCCCAACTTATTTTTTTTTTAAACACTGCCGTCAATCCCTGTGAGGTGATTCCATCCGCCTTTATAAGTTCAGTTACTTCTTGGCTCCTGGTGGCCGACACATGCTTGCCTACATCTCTTTACATTCTCTCCGTTTACTGTTAAATCCTTTCTTTACATCGATTGTGGGTGTGCATGGGCAACTGCTCGCCTGTGGAGCTCAGAGGACAATCTGCAGGAGTTCGTTTCCTCCTTCCACCACATGGGTTCCATGAATTAAAAGAAGGTCAGGCTTGTGAACCATCTTGGCAGCCTTTCTCACTCATTTTCAATTTAACAAACCCACTGCCACACTCAATGGTATCTCAGAAGGAATACACACCAAGCCCAAGTAAAACTCTATTTCCTTTCTTCTGTGCACAGCTGAAGGCCTAGAAACCACCCTCTGAAGCTGCACTTCTGGTCATGCTACGGCCTGCCATCTCTATTTCCTAGCTCTCAATTCTTCGTCCCTCTGTAGCCCCACTTCTCATGTGCTGTCTCTTTACTGCACCGCCCTCAATCTATCGTCAGGCCCAGCTCAGGTCTACTCCTCTCCATAAAGCAACCACACTCTCATTTCTCCCATCTTCCAGTTTTGGAGTGAGTGCTGCTCAAGAGCCTCCTGCCACAGAGGCAGGTGTCCAGAACCAGAACCACTGAGGGTGCCCCCTCCTGCCACCCTCTCATGAGAGGGGAATGCTGACCTCTTCAAGCAGCGGACTTACCAAGAGCTGTCTTTTTAAAATTTTGTTTCATTTTGAAATTAAAAATGTTTGTTTCTCGGGGCTGGAGAGATGGCTCAGAGCTTAAGAGCATTGCCTGCTCTTCCAAAGGTCCTGAGTTCAATTCCCAGCAACCACATGGTGGCTCACAACCATCTGTAATGGGGTCTGCTGCCCTCTTCTGGCCTGCAGGCATACACACAGAGTATTGTATACATAATAAATAAAGAAATATTTAAAAAAAATGTTTGTTTCTCAACAGTGATACATTTTAGAACTACTACATAAGGTGAAAATAAGTTTCTCAGTTTTCAAATTCCAGGCATGTTATTTATTTTTTGAGATTCAGGGATCAAAAAGTTAGTATTCCCCAAAATTTTAAAATTATGGTATTTAAAACATAATATTTATGCTCTATAATTTGAATAGTTAAACTTTTTGTTTAGGGCTGGAGAGATGGCTCAGTGGTTAAGAGCATTGCCTGCTCTTCCAAAGGTCCTGAGTTCAATTCCCAGCAACCACATGGTGGCTCACAACCATCTGTAAGGAGGTCTGGCGCCCTCTTCTGGCCTTCAGGCATACAGACAGAATATTGTACACATAATAAATAAACAAACAAACAAACAAATAAATAAATTAAAAAAAACAAAACAAAAAAAACCTTTTTGTTTAAAGGATAAAGAACACTGAACTTAGTAGTGCTTACAAAAAACTATACCCTATGGGTATATTCACTGAAAATAATTTAGTCATGTCTTGCTTCCTCAGGAAACACACGTGGGCACCATCCACTGAAGGACTGACTTCACCCTGAAAATGTGTCACGCCTTGCCAGGAACTTTCACATCTTCTCTGTCTGTCCTTCACAACCTTTTGAAACAGTTATGTCTCAGTGTTTCCACAGGACATCACACTAGCAGAGTCATCACTTCTTTGGTACAGGGACTGTTTCCACCTTGAGTTTAAGGCTACAACAGTGTTCCTTTGATTGACTTTGAATTCTAAGTACCTAGCAGTTTTATGGTACATGAGAGTCACCAATGATTTCACTTAGCCAAACAAAGTCTTTTACAAATTAATGTCAACCCCAAAGTCTCAGTTCCTACCAAGCACATATCGCTTCATTTGTTTTTCCATCAACAACTCAACTGTTTTGTAGCGGTGGAAGCACCGAGCAGGATTCAATCTGACTGAGAATTCAGAGACTACAGCTGCCTTGCTAAGACAAAGGGGGTGCAACATAAGCTTTAGTAGACGTTGATTCCTCCATGTAAACAGCTCCACAGACTGAAAATTAGATTGTATATTCTATCTGTCAAGTGGCAAGTCATTGATGCAAACATATTGGTTATAGACGCTCACAGTATGGCAGTTCCAGAAAATTAACACTGTGAGAGGTTAAAAATAGAGGGAAGTCAGGAATGAACTGAAATGATGGAGAGCACAGAAGATACTTGTGAAGAAGAAAATGCAAGTGTGTTTTGATGAGAGACAATGTATCAACTCTTAAGTTTCTGTAAAGGGCTACACTGTCAAAGAAATATATGGTGTGCTAGTCTGGCCTCCTGTGTAGTAGAGGGCGGCCAACAGCTGCCGTACCTGACGTGTGCCAATCATCACTTGCCTTCTGTAATAACTTCATTCTCACGAAAACAGTCTGCTAAAAAAGTCCCTGACAGGCCAGGCGGTGATAGCGCATGCCTTTAATCCCAGCACTTGGGAGGCAGAGGCAGAAGGATCTCTTTGAGTTTGAGGCCAACCTGGTCTACAGAGTGAGTTCCAGGACAAGCCCCAAAGCTACAGAGAAACCGTTTTGACCAGCCCCCCACCCCCCCACGAATCCACAAAAGAACCAGATATTTGGTGATTTGTCCTATGACAGAAAACTAATTGCTGGAGTCTGATTTGTCCACTTTGAAGCAACTGAATGGTCTTCCACAGTACAGGAACTGCTACGAGATCACTAAGAAATAAATGATGGACGTAACTAGAATGGAAGGCCAGTGTTTAAAAGCTGTTACTAAGGCAGAGTGCAAGCAAGTCGAGAGAGAGAGAGAGAGACAGAGAGATGTACTCAGCAATCTTCAGTGCTTTTCCATTTACAAACCACTTTAACATAAACTATCTACGTCCCCAAATCTGTAACACAGGCAAAGACAGGATCACTCATTTTCAGGTTGCTTGTAAACAGGTCATACTACTGTTTGCGCCCACATGGAAAATCAGAGGAGCGTGAGGTGGGGGCAGGAACTTGGGCCTGAGCAGATACAGCTTTTAATCCACGGGAAACTAGTATGAGGGAGGTCCTTGGGACTGAGTGGCTGTCTTAAAAGTTCAGGAAAGCAAAATATTATATATCCGGAATCACTTCTGAACATACCTGGTTTACCTGTTGAATTGGGGGAAGCTTTTGACACATCCTCTTCTCATACATGGGTGGTGGGTACGTGTGTGTGTGTGTGTGTGTGTGTTGGTTCGTCAGCGGATAAGAGGGAAAATGTGCGTACTGTGCTTAAAAGAGTCAAGAGCTTTTAACTTCTTGTTGGCAACAAGCGTCCTTCGCCGATAGGAATATAAAATTACACACTACTCAATAGCTCATACCTACTCCTTGCACACTTCGGTCGCTCAACACAACAGCGATTCGGCAGGATTCAAGTCACTTGGGAAGGCAAGTGCCATCAAGAAGGTGCAAAAGAGAAGCAGGTTAAGAGTTCAATAGCGATGGGACGAGAGAGATGAACGGGAAGAAAAATATTCCTTTCTCCAGCACTCACCCAGCAGGGTGCCGATAACCCGGGCAGCTCCCTCGTTGCGTCGCTCGTAGCTGTCCACGATGGAGGCCAAAATGACCGGGTGCAGTCTGACCACGCGGCCGCCCGGGAAAGGCCCCGGGAGGGCGGGCCCGGGCTGTGAAGGCGCCGGCGTTTGCGCAGGGGCTGGCGTGGAGGCCGGGGTTTGGCCCGGAGCTGTAGGCGTAGCGGCCGTAGAGTCGGAGGACGAGGCAGGAGCCGGGGCGGCAGCGGGAGTCGCAGCCGGCGCCGGAGCCGGCGTGGGCGCTGTCGGGGCGGCAGCCGGGGCTGCGGTGGCAGCCGGCGCAGGGGTTGCAGCCGCAGTGGCAGCAGGGACACTTGCCGGTACGGCCGGGGATGCCATCTTGCGGAGAAAGAAGGAGCCCAGAACGGAAGGGCGTGAGCCGGACAGTATTGGGAACCTGGTTGGCTGAATTTGTACCACGTGAATCCGCTCTGGCTGACTATTGGGCACTGAAATTTCCGGCTGGTTGTAAATGTTAGTGAGCTCTGTGCGCATCTAATTTCCGTCCGATGCACACTCAGTGAGGAGCAGGCTAAAGTAGTTCCTAGTAACTTTGGGAGCGACTGAGGCGTGTGTGTTGTGGGGTGAGTGGAGAGAAACAACTAGCAATCTACAGAGTTGCCACCAGATGGCGGTACAGATTAGCGTAAAGGCCGCAATTCTTTTAGACTTAAATTGGATATTAAAAGTCAAAGTGATCTTTAAAGGGGCGTTTCTCTGTGTCTCTGTCTCTCGCTCTCTCTCCCTCCTCTCTTCTTCTCTCTCTCTCTGTCTCTCTGTCTCTCTCTGTCGCTCTCTCTGTCTCTCTGTCTCTCTCTGTCTCTGTCTCTCTCTGTCTCTGTCTCTCTCTCTCTCTCTCTCTCTCTCTCAGACACACACACACAGTTTCCCTTTTCTCTTCCTCCTTTTCCTTCCTCCTCTCCCTTCCTCCCTTCTTCCTTTCTCTCTCTTTTTTCTTTCTTTCTCTCTGGCTCTCTCTTTTTCTTTCTTTCTCGCTCTGTTTCTTTCTTCTTTAATTCCCTCCTTCCCTCTGTCCCTCCCTCTGTTCCTCCCTCTGTCCCTCCCTCCCTTTTTTCTTTGCTATTTTTGAAGTCAGGATCTACTCTGCAGTTCATGCTGGCTGGAGTTCACTATATAGGTCAGGTTGGCCTAAAATTCACTTCAACCTCCCTGCCTCAGCTTCCTGGATTAAAGGCACGAACCATCATGTCTGGCTAACATGCTTTATTTATGATGGCTTCATAAGGTGTCACTAGGGAAGTATGTTCATTCAACAATTTAAATGCTTAATATATACCAGACACTCTTTAGCTGCTTGAGTATACCAGTGAACCAAACAGCCCTGGTTTTCACTTCACTGAGGGAAAAAGAAGCACTAAGTACTGAGTAAATCCTATATTGTGTTAGAAAGTACTGTGATACATGGTAATTATATATGTATATAAAATTATGTCACATATAAAAATAAAACTCTAGGACCAACAGTGAGGGAAACATGGTCCACACACACAGTAAGAGGAGACCCCTCTTATTCATAAGCTGATCAGCCTTTCCTTCTGTCCAGGCTTCATTTGATGGGATGAGTGACACCCACAATGGGGAGCACAGCTGGCTTTAGTCAGTTACTGATTCAAATGTCAGTCACATCCTAAATACAGCATCATAGAAACTCTCTCTGATGTATTGCCCAAAGGTTGGAGCACACAAAATTAACCACCGCATGTCACTTTCTAGTTCCTGGGGGGAACGTGTCTGAGAAGTCATGCCTGAAAAAACAAAACAAAACAAAACAAAACAAAACAAAGCGAAACAAGCAGGATTATCTCTACCAGGGAATCATATGAAGGTAGGCCTATAGGTTGTTTACCTAGCCTGTTTCAGGGATGGAAGAAACATTACAACACACACACACACACACACACACACACACACACACACGTGCACGCGCGCTCCAGCCAGCTCCCTGCTCTTGTCTCTCTCCTCTCTGTTTTTTCCTGCTCAGATTATGTGTTGTATGTCTTTCCTATATCTCTTCTTTCTCACTTTTTCTTCTGTTTCTACTCTTGGTCCTGCCTTCCCCATTTTAATCTTCTCTCTTTTGGGGACTCAGTTTCTCTAGTTGTCATCTCTGCCTCTAGCCAGGACAGGGTTAACACCATTTCATCTCTTGCCTCCGCCCATCCAATAAACTCAGTTCCTGTTTCTATAAATACTGAGGTGTTGCTGAGAGTCTGGCCCAGTGACTTAGACCTTGAGAGCTGGCGTTGGTGCAGTAAGTCCTCTGCTCTCTGGCACCCTATGTATGCCGTCATGTCTCGTTCTTTTGTTTTCTCATCTTGGCTTCTTGCTTAATCGCTGGTGCTCTGGTTTCTGTTTCTAGCCTGATCTTGGCTAAGGCTTTGGGCAAGTCAGTTCCCATTCCTGCCGTTTCCTCTGAACTCCAGGGAGTGCTCACAGAGCACCGCAGTTGGGATTTGGAGAAGGGATCAAGGTGCACAGGTGAGAGGGCTGGCTTCGTTCACCCCCTGGCTTTCCCATCCCCTACCACCGCTGCCTTCAAGCTCTTTGGAGATCCTATAAGCCGTACATTGTATAGAATATAGCTTCTGTTAGACATGCTTACATCCATCTTCTGACCATGAGACCCACACAGTTGTCTCTCCTTTCCAGAGCCTTTCTCACAGAAGCCACCCTCCAGCTTTCCCTCTGTTTAGGGTCCTAATCCAGTTCCAGTCTCAATTCCCCCTCCTGCCCATTTGAGATGTCTAGCCTGATCTCTCTTTTGGATGCTTTTTGTTGGCATTTAAAAATATTCCTTTTCCGTGTGAGAACAAAGACCTTTCCTTGGCCTAGCATTTCCCCATCACTTCGCAGAGTCCCTTCATGGAGAAGCTTCCCGAAAGACTACACATGTTACCTCCATTTCTTTGCCTACTATCTTTTCCCCAAGATGATCTATGACCTATTGTTTCATCTCAGTGATACATGTGTATGTATCAGAAATTCAATTTATTACAAAGTCTGTGCCTTCAGTTTTCATTTTTCTCACCATCACCATCCTTCTTCCCCAAGGCAACTACTTTAAATTTTTAACTGTCTTATGTCTTTGTACACATGCACACACACACATAGACAGACACACACACAAGAGAGAGAGAGAGAGAGAGAGAGAGAGAGAGAGAGGCAGACAGATATATTATGTGTTTGTCGCATATGCATATGTGTGTGAGTGTAGGTGCTTTGTGTATCACAGGCCAGAGGACGTCAGGTATTCTGGACTATAACTCTCTACCTTGTTCCTTTGAGACAGGAACTTTCATTGAGCTTGGATCTAGGTTAGGGGGCAACAAACCTCAGTCATTCTCATGCACCCACCCTCAGTGGTTTTACATGGGTGCTGGAATATGAATTCAAGTCCTCACGCTTGCTTCTCAGGTGCCATGCTTACATAGACAGTGTTCTTATACACAGAACCATCTCTCTAACCCTGCTGCGTCTTTGTACTTCTAAACAGTACACACACAGCTGCTTTTTGACTCAAGGTTTTAGGTGTCACCCATTGGCCTTTTACCCTAATCATTCCATTACCATCCTCTCTAATGTTAAAAACATGACTTTATGCATATGGGTGTTTTGCCTGCATGCATATCTATGCACCAGGTGCATGCCCAATGCCCTCAGAGCCCAGAAAAGGATATTTGATCCCCCGAGACTGGAGTTGTAGATGGTTGTGAGTTGCCATGTAGTGCCGGGAATCAAACCTAGGTCCTCTGGAGGAGCAGCCAGAGCTCCTGGCTATGGAGTCATCTTTCCAGCCTCTCGGCTGTTGTCCTCTCATTGAGATTATAATAAAGATCGTAGTCATCCAGTGGCTATTCTATTGTTTGTATGCAAACATTGTTCGCCTGAGTGCTTTAGCTTGCTGTGTTTTATGTCTTATTCTTTTGTTGCTCCTAAAATATTTATTTTACTTTCTTTTCTAGCTTTCTGGCAACTTTACTGTTGTCTGTACCTTTGGTTGTCTCTCCATAGCTTTTTCAGGAAGACAAAGGCATCAGTTAAACTACCAATCTGTTGTTCTTTTCATCTTGAAGGCAATTATTTCAGAGATTGGTCCACATTTAGGGAGAGGATGGTGTCCCTGCTCTCTAGACCAATTGGCCAACTGCCTTTTAGGCACATTTAGGAATGTGTTTGTACCTCTGCTTCACAGTTCCTGTTTTCTTCCTTTTTCACTCTTCCAGAGCCCAGCCTGCAGTGCTTCACCAGTCTGGAGAAATGGTACAGTGGCAGAGAATGTGGGGACAGTGCTCCACTTCCTTTGTCAACCACCCCAGTCTAGACTGGGGTCAAGTTGCCGAAAGGACAAACGCTTTCAAGGAGGGATGTGAACCATCTTGGGTTCTTTCTTTTGGTCATGCCTTTGCTCCCTCCCTTGTTTCCCAAGTTTAATGTTTGCAAATGAGGTCAAGTTTTTATTTTCTTTCTCTCTCTCTCTCTCTCTCTCTCTCCCCCTCCCTCTCTCTCTTTCTTTCCTTTCTTTTCAGTAGGGTTTTTCTGTGCAGTCCTGGCTGTCCTGGAACTCACTCTGCGTACCAGCCTGGCCTCGAACTCAGAGGTCCGCCTGCCTCTGCCTCTTAAGGGGTCAAGTTCTCTTCTGGTGAACAATTGCTCGTGCCAGCTGACAGATCTGATGTGGAGGCATCAGATCTCTGCTTCCCTGTTCACTGAGGTCCTTCATGGGTTCCAGTCTCCCCCCACCCCCCCTACTGTGCCCATAGACAGATAGTACATGTTGGAGAATTCACACCTTTACTTGGAATTCTGACCTTACCAGATAATCATTAACTGGCGGGTTTAGGGTAAGAGGACCCAGGCTTGGCCTGCAAAGCTGAAAATGGACCTGTTGTAGCTCTCCTGGACAGCTAGCTTTTTGTCCTTTTGCCCCAGGGAGCTGAGTCATTCTCTCACCTCCAGCTCCTCAAGCCTGAGCTTGACTGGTCCAGGGCTCTGTTGTTGTCTTCTTGTTCTGGAATGTGTTTCTCCAGAATCGGAGCTTTGTAGGGAATCCCCAGTGTTCCTGCGTCCTAATGTGTTTCTGAGAGGTCTATTCCTTTCCCTGGTTTTCAGTCAAAATACTGATACTCGAGTCGCAGCAAGCCCATTACAAAAGGCTTTTCTGAGCACCTCGTCACACTTCCACAATGGCTTCCCCATGACGCTGGACGACAGGCGTCTCTTGGATTCGGAAGTCCCCTCTTAGTCACTGTTGCTCTCCTTCCCTTAGCAGATGCTGAGTTCAAGTCTAGCACTAATAGTGTCCATTCCCTTAGCCTTATCTGAACTTGACTCCTTACAGGGAGAC